TCCTCGAGAGCCTGACGAAGCTGATCTTCGGTATATTGAGGCATTATATATAGAAGAAGACATGTGCAAAAGATGAGCCCATTTGGACGCGAATTGAAAATGTTGTGATAAAAGGAGGTTGGGGGTGGGCATTGGGTTGTGGTGGATTTTCGCGTTTTTGTGGGTGCCAGAAACAGGGGGGTGCCAGGAAGTGGGTATGTTGACTTATCACAAAGACGATGCAGAACCACGTCTTTGTCCTGGCAATCTTGTACGCGTGGAAGAGCGTCGCGAGGACGAAGAGGACCTCGAAGATGATGGCGGCGACCAGACTGGGCACATAGTGCCAGAGGTAGTAGCCGTTGTAGGACTCGAGGGTAGGCATCTTGTCAAAGTCTTGAGGTTTGCCAGGAATCGGTTACTGGTAGTTGGTTTGTCCTCCACCTTTTCTCCGTTCCCTGCCTGTTATTGTGGGCTGTGAATTTTTCGTGGTATTTGATCGCGAGATTAGACTTGCTTCAAATATTGGCGACCGATGGAAAAGAAAGGACTGTTGATTTGCTGTTGTCGATGGAAATCTCGTCCTAGGACCTCGTTGGTGTTGACGTTGTTGCTGGATATGTTGCCAAGGGCCAAGGGGGTGTCTCGAAGTTGTAGTCCATCTTTATAGCGTCCCCAAGGATGGGAGATGGGAGCGGTTGGAACTTGAGTTTGCTGCTGCGGCCACCGTATACGCGAACTCTCGAATAAAGTCTCTTTGACGGCATCTCCATACGCGTTTGTCGTGAACAACAGGCAAAGAGCCTAGATGTGTCTGACTATCAACGTGTGAGATCCAAGCTTCGCTGGTATCCACAGGTGGGGTCTGAGTCTTCCCCATAAGGATGTATACGTGGATTAATTGAGTCGTGATTGGCTCGTGTGTCCCACTCCCCTGCTAGCCCTGTGGGTGGATCTTACTACATATTCCTTCCGGTCAACGAATCACGTCCCATTCCATACGCGTACAGAGATTTTGGCCGTGATGTTTTTGCAATCACAGAGGCTGAGGGAGGCATGCCGGGACTCGTCACCCCACCACCCCTCTGACATTCAATCTCTTCACATTTGTACGGATATCAGAGTGTGAAGTCCTACCCAATCCAACTTTCCGTCGTTCGTCTGATGCAGGGACAAAGCCACGCCGATAAGGAACATCCCGTTCGGCAAGCTTACGTACCTCACGCAACCCCCCTTCCAGTCTTTGGAAGAAGCTGCATTTACGTGTATTTTTCCCCAGCAAAACTTGCAACACAGTGACCAAACACGAGGAAACTCTGAGTGTGGCTTGGCCAACAGAAAAAGGTCCATCAAACAGCTCCACGGGAACGGCGGCGATCGTGGAGCCATGCATACTTCGTAAAATCACCTGGCCGTCAACCTTGTCTCTCCATTTACTCTGCGCAATCATTTCGCTCTTCGCATTCACAATTTTGACTTCTGCGCCATGACTTCTAGTGGTGTAGACGAACGGTAGTTGTAGAAATCAGGTTACCTTTGAGGCTTAGCCCGGAATCCGGCAACCGCTCAGCTGTTTTCGGACTTGACCGGGGTCTCGCTTTCGGATCGTCTTGGCGTCTGCAGTGGATCTCTACCGTCGTTCCGCGTTGCCGGAACCTTTTTGCGTTGGCCGCGCTGGCGATGGGAACAGCGGGAGGCGGGAACGTCCTGTCGGTATCGCGAACGAGGCAGACTGGGCGGCGGACTTGGCTCAACTTTGGATGTCGAGATAAGCCTTTGCGTCACTGCATTGTCAAACTCAATCGCTTGACCTGAACATGGGATGTTATTTTGTTGTTCGTGAAGGCGTGGCTGTGGTCGCCTTGTTCGACATTGAGTTTTCTTGTCAATATCGGTGAATGCTACTGTCACCACGTGGTGCGCTGCCATTACAAGATGACGCAAAAGCACATGATATGTAGTCATTTGCTGTGTACATCGCGACTAGGATACTCGTTTTCGTTCCCAGGCGCCTGCATCTTTGAGAATCTTCACTCTTCAACGACTGTGCAAAATACACGTCAGATTCCGTGCAAGTTTCGGTCCACGCATGTGGATAGTGACGACCTCTTGGTCGTTCCGCTGCAATGCTCTCCAAATCCGAGACAAACGCTGAAATGGGTATCGGCGGCTGATTTAAAAGTGTTGGACGGCAGTTCATTTCTATTTTAGGCCAATTGGAAAGTAGTCTCCATAGCCTAGAATTTGTACTAGATTCTGTACAGAGTACTTGACAAAGTTTATCGTCACTTGATTGCTCACTAGCAGATACACGTATTTCTGGGGGTGGGTCCACTCCGAGACCCCAATACGTGGAACCCGGGTACTAGGGCCGCCAGACATTGCAAATCTTTGTTTCCTCTACCAAGTCCCTTTTCTAGATTTGCTGACCTAAAAGACCCAGAGACGTGCTGACTCGACATTTCCAGCATTTGATGTCTGTAGCCAACTGCGCATTATCTTCCTGTAATCGTAAGATGCTAGTCTGTCAGACGAGGCATTGTGAGGAACACGTCCACAGTCCACTAGGTACGTTTATACGTGGATTCCTCACGTTCTCTTGGTTGAAATACGGCCGAAGCGTACAAGCATGATTAGATTTTCAAAGTCATGCTGTATGCTGAATGACTCGGTGATGACAGGAGAATCTGAAATTTTCTGTTGGGCCCCAAGTAAATCGTTCTCTGTCATACAATCTCATTATGACAAGCCCATGAGTAGAATCTATACGTATTGTGAGGGGACATGAGAATAGGTCGATCTTAAGAACTTCGAAAAATGCGATGTGAATTTGTGCGAGGGTTTCAGCTCACAACAGGGCGAGGCTTCAACCCACCTTTGGCAACAATAGGTTGGCAGTGCTAAAGAACATCACTTCAAATTTAGTGATAAATCGGGCTCACTTAAAGGTATTAATCAAACCCTCCTACCTTTGAAAAATGGGCTCTACGTGTAGGCTATCTGTCGTCGGCGGTTTCTCGTGAATACTCTCGACTCGACGTCCCTTGCGGAGGTCAATCTACTTTGAGAGTGGCCAGATGAATAGGTATTTCGAGCGATCATTTTTGCTCAAAATTACTCACAAGTATCCATCATGCAGAAATCATGCTAAATTACTTGAATCTCGCAGACGCTTTATATCAAACGTTCTAGACCAGCTAATGCAACAATGGGATACGAAAGTTGATCCTACGACGGGACTAGCTAGCAGTGCAACTGTTATATCTAGTCTAAGGGAAATGAAGATGAAGTCTGAAGAAATGTGGCTAGTGAAGAAGTGCCTGAGCTTGGTCTTTGCTGCTCTCAATGCCGTCCCTTCCTTCAAGATCGCGAACCTCCCGCCAGTCCACGTGAGTCCCCACTATTTGGCAATCGCATGTGACAGAATGCTGAAACCACCATCTTCACGTGAGCAGGTCATCCAAAACGCATTTATGCAATTGGAAAACGACTTGTATGCAAAAAGAGGAAGTTTGAAAGCTGGAATACTGATGCTTGAAGGAGATACCTCTGAGCGCTTAAGCTCGTCTCGCCCCATGTTATGAACTTACCCGATCCCGACGTCACTGTGCGTGTGGCAGCAGATCAACCCCGCCACGCAGCAGGGATGTCGCGAGAACATGAAAAACAGAAAAAGCAATAAGCGAATGATGTCAGTACCTCCCTCACTATGGCTGCTGCCCGCCCAACTTTCCTTGACTTCTTCGATATCGAGTAATTCCAAAACCTTGCAATAGTCCGCAAGCAAATCCTACCCAGGTACTGTCAGACCTGCACGACTCGCTACCGAAATCTGGCAAGTAATCGACAGCATCCCTTCCTTCACCTTGTTCATTGCACTGTTTCGTCCCGACCGTACGGCACAGCACAGCGCAACTCCACACTTCATCCCACCTCAGCATTCCATTCCCCGAGCTCCAGCCTCAAGCGTCCAAAAGCTCCTCTTCGAGCAACCTCGCACGGCCACCGACGCCACACTTCACATAATGTCGTCCCCACCAACACCGCCCGACGAGAAGCAGACGGAAGAGCAAAAGCAGACCCAAAAAGAAAAGGTTCTCGCCCAAGCGACCGCCAAACTCGAAGAGGCACAGAAAGAGACCGAAGCTGCGCAGGCGCTTCGCGAGCGGGCTGAGGCGACCGAGGACCCGGAGGAGAAGAAGAAGATACTCGCCGAGGCGGCGGAGCACGAGAAGAAGGCTCAGGGGTCAGCTAAGCAGTCGAAGCGGCTGCAGAGCGGCGTGTGGCAGGGCGGCATCGGTGGCGCGGGCATCGGCGCCGGACTTGGTACGGGACTGGGCGCCGGGGTGGGTACGTTGGTGGGGGCTGTTGTCGGCGGTGTCACAGCTATCCCTACGACAGGGCTCGGGCTATTGGTTGGCGCTGGAACGGGTGCGATACACGGGCCTTGGTGTAAACTGGAACAGGAGAAGAAGGAGGCTGAGGAGGCCGAGGCGAATGGGGAGGATGGGGAAGAGTCCGAGGATGGAGAAGGAGCTGAGAAGGCCGTCAAGGCCGGGTGAAACCTAGACCGCGGTCGTGTTTCCTCGTGTCTTGTCCTGTTTGTTTGGCGACGATACCATCTGACGAGAGCTGTATGATATACGGTTGCCAGCTTTTGCCTGTGGGATGCGATGGGTGATCATGGCTTACGACCGAAAACGACCATTGCATATAGCCTTGCTTTCAGTTTTCTTTTCCTTTCTGTCATTCTTCTTTCCATTATACCTAGCATAGCAACACGATCTTGGTTTCTTTTGGGGTTTAGATTTTCAAAAAGAGGTATAGGAAAATACGAGCTATACGTATGGGCTTATGCGGACGACCTAGAAACTTCCTAACGTAGGTGTCAATACTCGCAGTGAAGTCCATAGCCTCATGCTATTCTCGGCAGCGAGATTGTTCATGCTGTTGATTGGCTCCAGGCAAGTCACACATTAGGCGCAAGGTCTTGGTGATCAAGGACAGCTGAGATTAGCAGCCTACTGAAGGACGTATCTCGGAACTCGAGCATCATGGATGTAGGCCATATGACTGGTCGCTGCTGAAATATGTTGAAGAGAGAATTTTTGTCGAGACGCCGACAAGCTAAATCGATCCTTCGGCTCAAAAGGCCTATACATCGGTCTGTAAGGTACTTAGCTTACGTTGCTCTAATCTTGTCATTTGGGGATATGCAGAGTCCTGGTTTCTGTCGCGGACCGTCTTCCGTCTTCCGTCATCGGGCTCAAGCTCTCTAACTCTGCGAGATGCGTATAGGCATCAAGAAGCCCTTCTTTTCTGCTTCCGCTGATGCCTAGTTCAGGCTATGAAATATTGACGGGGTTTTCCACTTTGCCAGGCGCCACCGTACAAGTGGATAGTCAGGGTCAACTGCGCTCATTCCAGATATCAAGATGGGGCATTAGCCTATGATTCTGATTGAACCGGGATGAAGTGATATAATTCTCAGTTCGGAAACGGAACGAAGGTATCGTGAATATCAAACACCTATTTTCGGCATCGCAGGATTTTCCATCGACCTAGGTTCAGAGGGAGCTAGAGCAAAAGTAGGGATACAAATATACTCAGGGCTAGTCCGCATGGCAAAGTCATGCACATATACCACGTTTATCAGTCACCACTTGGCTAGCTTGTAATTGGTAATGGAGTTTAAAATTAGACGCGGGCAGCGTTCATCTCAGCATCGGGGCGGTGTTTGCTGGCAGCCTACGAGCGAGCTCAGCCCCCGGCTATTAACGACCTTAGCTTCTGCGATATGTGCCGCACACGCATAGGTCAGACGCCAATTCCACTGTCAGCACGTTCTTTGTCCGCAGCTGCGCGGCAACGGACCACTCACGTCGCGTTCCTCGTTCGTCTGAGTGAGATTCTAGCGCCAACAAAGGATCTAGTGCCGGTTGGCAGTCCTCCGGGTAACCGCCGTCCCGGATCTGCGTGCCAGGCGGTACATGACAGATGAGGAAACTTCTTTCGGAGAGCTAGCGTTGTTCACGCGAAGGAAGCTGGGAGATGAGCTTCCCCCAGTCGGAGGAGGCGGGTCGTGTAGGTGGAAGAGGATGCTTCCGTAGGGCTGTACAATAACGCCGTCAGCTGGTCACGATGACCAAAGACCCAAAGCAATAGCATCGCACGACGCTGTAAATTGTATATAATAAGAAGATGTCGCTGTCGATTAGTGTATTTGTTCTCTCATCATCACACATTCGCACAAATAACCAAACCAACCTTCCAACTTTTCCTATCTTCTTTCCTATTTTTCTTCATTTCCTAGAGTCTTCTCTCTCGCTACGCATCCGAGTTCTACCTCTTAAACAAATCCAAAATCACGGATCCAGACAAAATGTTCTCCATCAAGACCTTCTCCACTGTCCTCCTGGCCGCCGCCGCCACCGTCTCCGCTGCTCCCACCAACACCGCCGGCACCAAGACCCCGACCCGCACCTACGAGCTCACAGGCGTCACCCACTCCGTCGTCGCCGGCCTCGGCGGCCTCCGCTTCGACCCGGACAACGTCGTCGCCGAGGTCGGTGACATCGTCGAGTGGCACTACCTGCCCCGCAACCACTCCGTCGCCGAGTCCAACTTTGGCAACCCGTGCAATCCCCTGGCCGACGGCTCCTCCTTCTTCTCCGGCTTCAACTTCTTCACTCCAGAGGGCCAGTCCGCCAACGTTTTCCAAATCGTCGTCGAGGACAAGAAGCCCATCTGGTACTACTGCGCCCAGAACGCCGGCCAGCACTGCAAGAACGGCATGGTCGGCGTCATCAACCAGAACTTTGACAGCCCCGACTTCACTCTCGCCAAGCACAAGGCTTTGGCTGCGCAGAAGGGCGATGCTGTCATTCCTCCTGTTCAGCAGGGTGGCTTTGTCATCCCCAACCCGAACCCCCTTGGAGGCTTCAAACTCTAAACATATGGTTTATCGATGAATAGGCCATTTGATTGCGGGAGCTATTGGGCTGTCATGGCGGTAATTGCGTGTGCATTGAGCGGGTTGCATGGTACGGTCAAAAGGGAATTGCATCTGGCGGCGGTAAATTTCAGAAAATTTGAGCTATCTATTGTCTTACAACCTTCGATTCTTAGCTTACTTCAGATATATAACATTCTATAACACTCATTCACTCTCTGAATTCCATCAATCCCTGCGCATTCATGAACATCGAAAGCTTTTGAACACGAAATGCGGCTACCAAAAGATATTGTACTGTGAGTATGGTTCCCCTAAGTGGCATGTTACAAAAGTCGTAGACACCTCGTACAGTCGCTCATCACGGGGAACAAAATGAAGACAGGATGAAAGTGCCTCATAAGTAGGTCTAGGATGCTTTATGTTTATTCGACTTAGCAACCATCGCTAACTCCGCGATTATCCCCTGAAAGGTGTCAGCCGCTTGCATACGCTAGGCACTCTCGTTTATAAGCGACTTTGTCGGATAGATCAAGCCTATGAATACGACGGTATCATCGGGAAAAGAGCCGAACACGACGGGTAATTTGTGCGGGGTTCAAGACGATAGACAAACCACATATGAACGCTCAACCCCGCTCTAGGATACCTTAATCACCCAAGATGGCATCAAAATCAGACCATTGAATTGGTGGAAGAAATGCAGTGAAATTGCTAAGAAATCGTTCTCGGGTTCGCCCACAATTATGCCACAAGCAGAAGTCTGTGTATTGCCGACGGTGCGTAATCGCTAAGATTCACCTTGGTTGAAAAAAAGACTTGATACAAAAGGCGACTTAACGCCCAGGCCTACTCAATCAAACTCGAAGTGCTGCGAGACAAGATCCGACATCTTCAGATTGATCACGTTCGTCTCAGATCTCCCAATGCGACTCTTCAGCCTCGTCTGGCTGTCAATCGTCACACTGGCGGCCCAAAGCCAGTCTCAGGAGGTCAACAAAACCTTCAACAACCCGATCCTCCCGGGTTGGAACTCTGATCCTAGCTGCACTTTTGTCAAGGAATATGATAACACGTTCTTCTGTACTGTCTCCTCATTTCTGGCTTTCCCGGGTGTTCCCGTATACGCCAGCAAGGACTTGGTAAATTGGAGACTTGCCAGCAATGCTTTGACGCGACCAGAGCAAGTGCCGGAACTCTACCGGAACTCGGGACAGAATGAGGGTATTTGGGCGTCTACAATCAGGTTCCGCAACGGAACGTTCTACCTCATCACATCGTACGTCTCTTGGTATGAAGAGTGGGGCCCCAAGATCTTACTCTTCACAACCACCGACCCATACGATGATGCCTCGTGGACGGGCCCCCTTCGCGTCGAGAATCCGGCAAACGATATTGACCCGGACATCTTCTGGGACAACAACAAGGTGTACATGTCGGTGGCTGCCGGTATCTACATTAGCGAAATCGATCTTTCGACGGGCGCGGCAAAGGAGCCTATCAAAGTCTGGAACGGCACCGGGGACCGCAACCCCGAGGGGCCGCATTTGTATCGCAAAGATGACTACTATCATCTGCTGATTGGAGAGGGTGGAACGGAAACAAATCACTCTGTAACGATTGCTCGAGCGAAAGAGTTGGCAGGACCGTACGAAGGAGCTCCGCACAACCCTATTCTAACGGCCAAGAATACCGACTTGTATTTTCAGACGGTGGGACACGCTGACCTCTTCCAAGACGCCTCCGGGAATTGGTGGGGTGTCGCGCTGGCAACTAGTTCAGGTCCCGAGTGGGAAATTTACCCGATGGGGCGCGAGACTATTCTCTTTGCCGTCAAATGGGATGATGGGGGTTGGCCAGTACTTGACGAGGTACTTGGTGTAATGGATGGACCTTTGCCTCCCACGAACAGAGATATCCCCGGCAATGGTCATTGGATAAACGAACCTGACGTTGTCGACTTTACGCCGGGCTCGGAGATTCCCAGGCATTTTATCTTTTGGCGTCCACCAAAGACAGATCTGTTCAGAGTCTCACCGGAGGGGCATGCCAACACGCTGCAAATATCTCCTTCACCTGTCAACCTTTCAGCAACACCAGAATTTAACCCAGAACAAGATGGTCTCGGATTCATCGCACGCAAGCAGAGTGCTACGCTGTTCAACTACACCGTCGACGTCTCATTCCAGCCAAAAGTTGAAAACGAGGAAGCCGGCATTTCGGTCTTCTTGACCCAATTCCAGCACATAGATTTAGGCATTGTGAACTTACCAGCTTGCTCCAACCAGTCGCTTGTTCCGAAGTTCCGATTCAAGGTCGAGGCCTCAGGAAAGCCCAACATCACCGTTCCCGAGATAGCTCTCGTGACAGTGCCCAAAGCCTGGAGATCGGAGCCGATAAAGCTCTCCGTATCTGCTATCAGCGACTCAAAGTATGTTTTCGGCGCAGCTCCGGCTTCTCGCCCAGAAGAATATCTGGAAATTGGATCGGCGAATGCGTTGATCGTTTCTGGAGGCAGTGGCCCGTTCACCGGTAAGCCCCCTAACTCAGTCCATTGAAGTTCTGATGATTGACATGGCGATCCTGTAGGCACAATTGTCGGGGCGTATGCTACTAACAATGGCGGTGATGGGATGACGCCCGCATACTTTAGTCGGTGGAGGTACACTCCTGTGGCACAAAAGATCAACCACGATACTCTTGTACCGGCGACTTAGAAATGGGGGTTTGACATCAAAGCCATCACTTATCCTAGTCTGGCGAATAATCACGCATTCCACTTGCACTCGATAAAGAGATTCTTGCCAATATTACACTTGATCTTCAAGCCTTAAGCTCCCCTCGAATACCAAGTTCCAGTAGGAGTCCTATTGATTTGGGTAGGCGTTGTAGCAGCGGCGGTAATCCGGAGGTGTTTGCCGAAGTGAACGGCTTTGAAGTGGATACCAGCAGTAAGAGCCGGCCGAGACCTCCATATTTCCGGCTGTCTGCTGTAAAGTAACACGTCATCAGAGGGGTCGCATCACTTCCATCATCATTAGAACTTTACCATCGCCACATAAGATACACATAATACCTCATCAACAAAACAACCTAGAGAACGCTGAGCCACAGTCATTTGGCATATTGTAACTCTAGTTCAACTTCGTGCTACTTGGCAACATGTCAAATGTGGACACATCAATCGGCGCGCGTACCACGGGTGCCGCAGCCGACTTCGCAGCAAAGCACTCGGAAGAGCACCCATTGAAGCTCTACGGCGGCTGGTTCTGCCCCTTTGTCCAGCGATCATGGATCGTCCTCCACGAAAAACAGATTCCCCACCAGTACATCGAGATTAACCCGTACAAGAAGGATCCCGAGTTCCTAAAGATGAACCCTCGGGGGCTGGTCCCGACCTTGGCCGTTCCCGTGGATGTGAAGGGCAACGAGCAACGACCGCTCTACGACAGCACTGTGGTTTCCGAGTACCTTGAGGAAGCATATGCCGGGAACAACTATGGGCCGCACCTTCTCCCGGAGGCGGCGTATGATCGTGCGAGGTGCCGGTTGTGGATCGATCACATCAACTCTCGCGTCGTGCCGGCATTTTACAAATTTATTCAGCACACTCCAGAGAAGGAGTACAGCATCGAAAAAGCACGTGATGAGTTCTTGGGTCACATCAAAACTTTGACTGCACAGATGGATTCCGAAGGTCCCTGGTTCTTGGGAAAGACATTCAGTCTCGTGGACGTGATGATAGCCCCTTGGGCCATGCGTCTGTTCCTATTCGATCATTACAAGCCAGGAGGACTTGGGATCCCCTCTGAAGGGGAAGGCGGCGATGATGAAGCGGTATGGAAGAGGTGGAGGCAATGGTACGATGCTATCAAAGAGAGGCAAAGCGTAAAGGATACGCTAAGTGACGGTGATGCCTATATTGAGGTGTACAAACGGTACGCTGAGGACAAGACCAACTCGGGGGTGGGACAGGCAACAAGAGGTGGAGGAAAGTTGCCTTGAGGAGATCTCTCTGATCAACAGCGACTATACAACCCGCCACTATCTGCCCCATATGGTCAAGGTAGCCGGCGGTATTTGTATAGACCCCTCAACGGAGCGAATGCCGGGCTTATACCAATCCCTTGGTTTCGATTTTCCGACAATGCATCTCGACAATGCATCTGCAACTAGTCATTAACTGATCACTAGACCATTTCACTTAGTCAAAGGAATCAAGGGGTGCTCCGTGATAGGACCTAGGCCGAATCCCCGCGATGCTCGTATCACTCGGCGCATTTTTCGTACCTGCCACCCGTTGCCCCGACTTAGACTATCATCGGCCCCCTCTCCGACTCAACCCATCCGGATTCGAAACCGACCAGTCGCTCAAAGATCCGTCCACCCCCACAAACATGGCCCAAAACAATCGGATTCCAAGGCCGGTTTTGGTTTCAGCGAACCTTCAATCTAGCCCGTCATCACGGACCCCCGAGATGTGCCACCGGAAGCGCACACTGCATGCACACCTATCTTTGTCACCTCGTGACAGCCAGACATGAATGCCTGTGCTATCTTACCCCGCGTTGTTAAGCGGGGTATCGATAAGCTGGCATCGGAATCCACGTGGCTGTGTGTCTATTGAGTTTCCAAAGGAGTATACGCATTCTGACACTTCCGATGTCATTGGGAGCGTCTGATGGATCAGCTATGCGTTGGTGTGTAGGAAAGGGAACTGGTACGGCTCACCAGGATGGACCACGATGTGCCACATGCCACATCATAAAGGCAATGCGTCCGCTCTAGTAGATACTATTGAGTTCAAGTCAGAATAATCATCATCACATCAGTAATTCTCACCATGAAGCCTTCATACTGCAAATCCTCCCTCACGGCAGGAAAGCCTGTTAGCCGCCATGTCACAACCGCATTCTCAAAGACGACTAGACCAAGGTCACTCTCTACAGCACCCCTAGTTGCAGACAAGGCGACTGGTATTGTCACACCTTCTACTTTGGCAGCTCTGCCCACACCAGTTCTCATGAGGTCTCTTTTCGTCTCTGCCATCTCCTCAAAGCCTATGCTCCTCGGCCCTTCACTCGCAGCGCTATCATTCTTCACAAGACCAAACAGAGGATTCTTCACAGATGTCGACAGAAACCCTGTTCTTCACTCTTTGCTCAAGAGCGTTTTTTACAAGCAGTTCTGTGCGGGAGAGACACCAAAGGAGACGCAAGAGACCATGCGGCACCTGAGATTTATGGGTTTCCGCGGTACAATCCTCACATACGCGAAAGAAACAATTTTTGATGCAAAGACGAACGTGGAGCACGGCTTGGGTATCGAGTCGGAGGATCTGACAAAGGGTGGTCTCGATTCTACCATCGAGTCCTGGAGGCAGGGTGTTTTGGAGACTGTCGATCTACTTGGTGATGGCGATCAACTTGCTCTCAAGTAAGCTAAAAATCACTTATACGCCTTATGATACCTGACAATTTGCTAACATTGCCAACTCGCAGACTTACAGGAGCCGGCCCTCGTGTCACAGAAGCTTTTGCCGCAAGGCAGCTGCCTCCCCAACAAATGATGCAAGCCCTCGAAGAAGTGAGCCAAAGATGCAAAGACCGTGGCGTGAGACTCCTCCTTGACGCCGAGTCTCAACACTTCCAATGGGGCATCTTCCTTGCAGGCATGGAACTGATGCGCAAATTCAACCGCGACGGCTACGCTACGATTTACAACACTTACCAGGCATATCTCAAGAGCACTCCGACCACCCTGGCCAAGCACCTGGAGATGGCCAACCAAGAAGGCTTCACGCACGGCCTGAAGCTAGTCAGAGGCGCCTACATGGGCTCCGACGAGCGGTCCCTGATTCACGACACAAAGAAGGATACTGATAACGCCTACAACAGCATCGCGCAGGGTGCCCTTAGACGGCACATTGGAGAATATGGAGCCCCGGGCGGCAAGCCGTTCCCCTCGCTCAACCTCTTCCTGGCGAGTCACAACAAGGAGAGCGTGGTCACGGCGCACAAGCTCCACCAACAGAGGCTAAAGGAAGGACTCCCGACGGTGCCGGTTGGTTTCGCGCAGCTGCAGGGCATGTCGGACGAGGTCAGCTTCTCGCTGCTGGCGCTCAAGGAGGAGGGGAGCCAAGACCCTTCGCCGCAGGTGTGGAAGTGCTCGACGTGGGGCAGCATGGGCGAGTGCGTGGCGTATCTTTTGCGGAGGGCGGTGGAGAACCGGGATGCCGTTTCCAGGACGGTGGACGAGTATGCGGCGCTCAAGGCGGAGGTGGGCAGGAGACTGCGGTCTAGATTCTTCCGGTCTCGGACTGTTGGCTAAAGATAGCAAATCGATCTTTCTTCGTTAATCGTTAATCTTATCTGACATGTGTGGGTCTCTCGTGATATGTTCCGAGTAAAGAGACTCAGAGAGAGAGAGTGCCGTGACTCCGTGAGGTCGATGTTGTGTCGGATGGCCTCCCGTATATCAACCCCACTTGATTAGCTTCGTGGCGGGGGATCTCCCGTCCAGCGCCGGTGTGAGGGGTAGCTACTAGGACCAGGGTAGCTTTATCGCACTCGATTCACATCAAGATAGTAGGGGGAGGGGCATTTCTTCAGTTCAACTCAGAGCAGTCGGCCGAAAAAGGTATTGGACAAACAACAACTTCAACCAAGCGAGAATTAGCCCAGATTCCTCTCAACTCCCAGCCTCTCATCAGCCGGCAAACAGTACACATCTCACATTAGACCACAAGAGTCAACATGGAAGCATTCAAGGATGTCAAGTTGTGCATTTTGGGTTGTGGTAAGTTACTATCATATGAGATTGATCGTTCGAACTACCTATGCTAATCAACCGGTACATAGGTAACCTAGGGATTCCCATTCTGAAATCACTGCTGGAAGACAACACCCTCCCCATCACTCAATTTATCGCATGTGTTCGAAGCGAAAAGTCTGAAGAGGCCCTAAAGACACGCTTCTCCAGTGCAGGAGACAAGCTCGTGGTTTCAAGGGGCGACAACATTGCGGCCTTGCAAAAATCGGATGTTGTAGTGCTAGGAGTGGACCCCGCGGATGTCGAAGAAGTTCTGTCCAAGCCGGGTACGAAAGAGGCTTTGAAAGACAAGCTTCTGATCAGCGTGGCCGCCGGCTGGACTCGAGGCAAGCTAGAAGCTACGATATACGGAAGCGAGACGACATCCGAGAACACAGAGGACCGGGCTTGGGTTGTTCGGACGCTCCCCAACATTGCGGCTATGGTCTCTCAGTCCCTTACTGCGATCGAGATCTCGGAGCCATCAGTGCCAGCCAAGTACATGGAGCTCACCGAAGCCATCTTCAATAAGATTGGTAAGACGGTGAAGATTGCGCCGAAGCTGATGAACGCTACGACCGCCGTGGGAGGATCTACGCCAGCCTTCTTTGCAGTCATCGCAGATGCTCTCATCGATGCTTCCGTTGCCGTCGGTGTTCCAAGGGATCTTGCACAGACTATGATCTTCCAGTCCATGCTGGGTAGCGCGACACTCATGCAGAACGGTCTGCAACCAGGCAGCCTGAGAGATCAAGGAACATCACCGGAAGGGTGCACAATCGGAGGCCTGATGGTCTTGGAGGAAGGGGCTGTAAGAGGGCACCTTGGAAAGGCTTTGAGAGAGGCTGTGACAGTCGCTCGTCTCATGGGTAGCGATCCTCACCCCAATGATACCAGGCATTAATTTAGAGGTCGGACTACCTACAATACAAAAGTTGCATCTTCACGCATTGCGATTCACGACTGAGAAATGTGATTGTCACCGCAAAAAACCTTTCAATGCTATTATCTCGTCTATTTTCTGACCAATTGCTATGTGTATGCTGAAAACCATTGCTGGAAGAAAGATCGCAACTCCAAATTTGCCAAACACCCGATACCAAACGCCGGTATAATTCTCACACATCGCATCACGATCGTCGACGGCATGTGCTCCCGCGTCCGCGCAACTCGATTAGAGAACGGTAGCCTGCTTTGCCTCTCGTAATAGTCCAGCGCAATCAGATGAATCGGCGATGCCACGACTTGCGACAGCACGGGAACCGTCAGCTGCGTGATTGTTGCCTTGGCATGTGGGGAAGACGTGACAGAGTCCGGGATTGCTGCCGATATCCAGTTCGGGAGCGTAAACGACCCAAAGATGGTGACAGCGTCTCTGACGAGGAACGTCGCCGTCGCGGCTCTGGGAAGCTTGCGTGGGGCCGCCGCCACCACTGCCTTTCCCACCTCGGGAGCGGCGCCGGAGGAGGAACCAAAGATCTCTGCGAAGCGGAGGTCCTTCCACACCCCGAGGGGTACGTTGACGAGAAACGTGGAGGCAAAGGTAGCTGTGCTCGCTGCGGCAGCTGCACCGTCGAACCTCTCGGCCACGGTGGTGGCGGCGTTGGCTGTGACGTAGGTTGCTGCGTACAGGGTCCAGACGATCCCGAGGGGCCGGGCGAAGAAGAAGCCGCGGGGTCGACGGATGGCGGAGCGTAGTTGGGCGTGGAGCCCTCGGATGAGGGGCCGCCCTGTTGTTGTCCGCTCGACTACCGCTCTGCAAACGGTTTTTGTTTAGTCAATGAAATTCCAAGGGTCCTGGGCAGATTTATCTTACCGATCTAGGATTGTGATTGCCGGAGAGATGAGGATTGCGGAGATGGTGCCAGCCGCGAGGTCACCCGCCAAGTTTCCCCAGACGGAACATGGTTCGTGGTCGTTGTGTTCCAGACCTTGTTGAGTCTCGAGCCGAGTCATTCTCACAAGCGTTTTGGGTAGGAGAGCGCAGATAGTCTTCCATGCTTGGTAGACGTGGCTAACGCCTTACTTATCTCTATTCTACACCCATTGCATACCCACAACTCCGCTAATTGAGACAGATGTGCTACGGATGGCCCGTGATAGATAGCCATTTCCTGGATTTAACAGCATTGTGACTGCTTCAAACTTGTCTTCCAAGTAAGTTGTGAAAGCTGAGCCCCACAACTAATGTTATCGATTTGTCTTCGCCATGACGCCGCATTTCCCAAAACTTATCAATCAGAACCCATGGCTGTAGCAGCGTAATCGGACTTGTCTCCGTGAAGCCATCGTCGACTACGTAGAACCACCATGTATCAAGATAGGACTCTAACCGCGATGGAGCACGGGAACAGACGCCGCCGGATTCAACTGTCAAAGACCCCCAACCTCCGATTTTGCGGGGAAATGCACCATGACTCCGCACCGGCGGGGGCCCTGCATGTAGATATCGGCAGGGCGTCCGCAACCCCTCCGCTCCGGGATCTACCCCCGTCCGATCTCGGCATGATTGTGAAGATGACATCGATTGTGATCTTGATTGGTTCACGATGCCATATAGCTATCGGGAGCTTGACCGGCCTAGTGCAGCAGCCATTGTCAAATAAGACGATGAGACTGCGAAGCTGTCATATGATCTCAAGCAGTATCAGCAAGCTCTCCTCATCAAAAGCACAGGTTCATCACCCATAATCACCCCATCGACACTCAAGACGAGATCTTCGTGTATCATTTTCTATCTTTGAGCTTTATACCCATACAATCAGTCAGAATGCAAGTCCACAGCGTCATGAGGTCTGCGAGACCAGTTGGATCTCTGAGATCAGGATTGCGCCCTACCACAGCCCCGGTCGCTCTTACACAAAGAAGGACGAAGGCGACTGCGCCATTCAGACTTCCCGACCCCAGAAACGAGCCCAACGTGAGTTGTAAACCGAATCTGAGGAGGCACGCTCAGGGATTGGCTAATGATCATTTTGCAGCCCACATACACAAAGAACTCTCCCGAGCGCGCAAAGCTCGAGGAGGCCCTCAAGAAGCTGCGCACCCAGCTGCCCGCCAAGAGCGACCTTTTCTTTGGCGGCCAGACCCAAGTCGCGGCCAAGTCTTTCGACACCGTTCTTCCCTCCGAGCACAAGACCAAGTTCTCCAACTTCCCCCTCGCATCCAAGGAGCAGGTTTCGTCAGCAATTGAGTCGGCGCTGGAGGCAAAGGAGAGCTGGCAGAACACCCCCTTCGTCGACCGGGCTGCCATCTTCCAAAAGGCGGCAGAGCTCGCCGTGACCAAATACCGCTATGAGCTCATCGCGGCGACCATGCTCGGCCAGGGCAAGAACATGTGGCAGGGAGAGATTGACGCGGCTGCCGAGTTGGCCGACTTCTTCAGACTCAACTGCAACTTCGCGGCAGAGATTCTCGAGAAGCAGCCCACCCGTGGTTCTGACGGCATGTGGAGGTATGTGGATCAAGCGATGATTTTCAATGAATTTGATACTGACAAAAACTTTCAGTCGCCTGGAATGGCGTCCTCTGGAGGGTTTTGTCTACGCCATCTCCCCCTTCAACTTCACTGCCATTGGCGGTAACCTCATTTCCGGCCCCGCGCTGATGGGCAACGTTGTCGTCTGGAAGCCTTCGCCCAGCAACATCTACGCCAGCCAGATCCTCTACAACATCCTCCTTGAGGCGGGTCTGCCCCCCAACGTCATTCAGTTCGTCCCCGGTGACGCCGAGGAAGTCACTGACGTTGTCCTTAACCACCGCGAATTCGCCGGCCTCAACTTCGTCGGCTCCTCCGACGTCTTCCGCTCCCTGTACGCCAGAATCGGCGAGGGCATCGGCAAGAAGACCTACCGCGAGTTCCCCCGTGTCGTCGGCGAGACTAGCGGCAAGAACTTCCACCTCATCCACCCGACCGCTGACATCGAGCACGCCGTCAACCACACTATCCGCGGCGCCTTCGAGTACCAGGGCCAGAAGTGTTCCGCCACCTCCCGCGTCTACCTCCCTGAGTCTAAGGCCGAGGAGTTCATCTCCAGCTTGAAGTCCAAGGTCGAGGAGATTACTATTGGAAGCCCCGACGGCAAGCTAGATGCCTTCATGGGCCCCGTCATCCACGAACGCTCCTTCAACAAGATCAAGAACATTATCGACGAGAGCAACAAGGATTCTTCCCTAAAGCTGGTGGTCGGCGGCACCTACGACGGCTCCGACGGATACTACGTCAACCCCACCGTCTACGTGGCCGACTCTCCGGACCACCGCCTCTTCAACGAGGAGATCTTCGGCCCCGTCCTGGCCATCTCCACCTACCCCGATGCCGAGTGGTCCTCCACTCTGAAGAAGGTCGACCAGAGCGGAGGCGGCTTCGCCCTGACCGGCGCCGTTTTCGCCAACGACAGACGCGCCATCCGCGAGGCCGAGGATGCCCTGCGCTACTCTGCAGGCAACTTCTACATCAGTGAGTTTACACATGTTCCCTTCTCCACCACTAACGTCAACGTGTATCCATTTGCTAACTCCAAACCCTCTCCCAGACTGTAAGACCACCGCTGCCCTGATCGGCCAGCAGTCCTTCGGCGGTGCCCGCGCCAGTGGCACCAACGACAAGGCAGGAAGCGCAGACGTCATGCGTCGCTTCGTCAGCCCCAGATTGATCAAGGAGGAGTTCTTCCCTCAGACTGAGTTCCTGTACCCTAGCAACAAATAAGTGCAGTGTGTGGGATACCGAATGGGTCGCGGTCACGGTTGCATGCAAAATGGCGCATTGTGTAATTTAGGGATAGTCAAAAAATGAAGAAATTTTACATTCACCCCATTTCTTGAACATTAAGAGTCCTGCCGCAAATTCGCAAATTGCGCAAAATAGCGAAGCTACCCTTGTCAAACACCAACCTTGCATCTTAGTATCGTCCCGGACGCAAATGCTCTGATTCATTCGGTCAGGTACGGAGACTTGAAGCAACTATCGTCCCACTTGCCAGAGGTGAATTGCCTGGGCGGCGCCGAAGGAATAGGTGGCCTTGGTTTGCTCCATTTCCTGTGGGCTTTAGAAGTGACGTAACATGCAGACTGAGTGTTACGGGAATCACAATAGCGGTAATTTTGTCTTACAGAATGGGAGTCACATACTTGCAAGTCTACTACCTACACAGTACATACTATCACGCGTCAGTTCCACCAGCGATAGGAAAACCAGGAACGTGTTCCTTGAAACCATGTGATATCGCTATCGCAAACCATACTCTCGTCTTTTACGTCTTGATCTCGTTGCCGAACATTACTACGCAATCATGAAAGCTTGTGGCTGGGCGGTAAGATGACCGGCTGGATGGCCGGCGTGTTGGTAAAGTTCCACCCGAGTCAGTTTGACCAATCAAGCGAAGGTTGACCACCGGGTCAGCTCCCGATGTCTCTTGGACAGATATCGGCTCACCATCCGCCTTGATAGCCCAGAAATAGAGCCACGCCTCTTGTGCCGCAAACAAGTTCCAGGCCATTCGAGTTGCCCGGCCGTGAACAGAGTAACACGGCATTGATTCCACCACGGCCACCACCCCGCTCGGCGCGGCTACGCTAACCAACTACCCCATGATGGAGATGGTGCCATGAGTATCTCCAGTATCTTGGATCCGAAGCCGGGGCAAGGGCCCGAAGCCAGCCGGTCCTGGGAAAGATCACGGAAGGTCATATACGACTGCTTGAAGATATCATACTTCAATGGCTAGTAGTGCTGCTCAAGGGCCCTGTATTCACACTGAATCAACAGTGCTTTCATTCGCACAATCCCGTCCTTAATCTCCGCCTTAGCCTCCAACCATCATCATGGGTGTCAGTAAATCCGATCCAATCATCATTGTGGGCGCCGGTGCCTTTGGTCTATCTACGGCCTACCACCTGTCTTTGGCTGGCTACACGGACATTTCCGTTTTCGACAAGCACGAGCAAATACCTCCCAGGGACTCTGCTGCCAACGATATCAACAAAATCTTCAGGGCTGAGTACGAAGACCCTTTCTACACAAATCTCACTATAGTAAGTTAAACCCCAGTGAGCTGCCTTATCTACTAGGGAAAGCCTCTCTGACTTGCAACAGGAAGCTGCGAAAGCATGGCAAACGCCTCTTTTCGCACCCTCATTTCACCGGGTAGGGTTTCTTCACTGCGTCTCGGCCAACGCCCCTGAGCGGGCCGCCGAGACTCTGCACAGGTTCCAGAAGGCCTCAGAAGACCACCCCCTTCTCGCAAAGTACGTGGTGCCCATCAAGGGTGGCCAGGACATCAACTACAATGTCTGGCAGTACGGCGAAGGCCCGTGTTCCGGCTGGAAGGGCTACCTTAATAAGTTTGACGGATATGTCCACTCTGGCAATGCCCTGATCGCCCTTTACAACGCTACCCGGGTACGGGGCGTAAAGTTCTTTCTCGGACAGCACGGTGGCGTACAGGAGATTGTGTATCAGAACACCGGTGCCGGCCGGAAGGCAACCGGCATTAGGACGCAGACTGGCAGTCAGATTTCGGCGAAGCTCGTGATTGTCGCTACTGGCGCAGCAGCGGCGAGACTTGTTCCAGAGTGCGGCAAGCAGGTCGTTGCCAAGTCTTGGTCTGTCGCTCACGTCGAGCTGACAGACGACGAGACGTCTGCGCTCCGTGGTATCCCCGTCACCTACGCGCGCGACCTCGGTTTCTACTTCGAGCCGGATCCGAAGACCAACCTGCTCAAGCTGTGCCCTATGGGCGGAGGATACGTCAACACGGATCCCAAGACGGGAATCTCACTCCCGCCGGCGTATGAGGAGAGCCAGTTTATGCCGCCGCACGATCAGGCCAAGGTGAGGCAGCTGCTGGCGGAAACGCTCCCGGCACTCAAGGACCGTCCGCTTGTCAAGCAGACCATCTGCTGGTTTGCTGACACGGCTGATTCGGACTTCATCATCGATTACGTCCCCAAGTCGAGTGACTCCGTGGTGCTCATGTCTGGTGACTCGGGTCACGCCGCGAAGCTGATCCCGCTTGTGGGTGATTGGGTCAAGAACCTTTTGGAGGCTCCCGATAACAAGCAGCCGGTCCCAAGGTGGCGTTGGAAGGAACCTCAGGAGAAGGAGGCAGGGAAGTGGGGCGATACCGTCAGCTGGCGCCTCGGAAACACTGAGGAGTTTGCAAAGATCCGCCAGGCCAGGACGTCAAAGTTGTAGATTATCTATCCACATAGCATTGTCTTATCATTCATGAATCATGTCTATCTCAGAGAGATCCCTTGAAGTTGATATCTGGTTCTGTAAAGAGCTGAGAAGACGGGGCTTACATCAGTTATGTCTGTTGACAGTAAACAGACCGGCTTCCTCTCCGAGTTGTCCGTCGTAGTCGACAGGCCCCATCCTCGGAGTTCGGTCCTGTGATAGTGAAAGATAAATGTCAAACTAGGAAGTTCGGACTGGCTACCGGTCATATTAGCTGTGATCAGAGGTCACTTGGACTTGTGGGCAAGTATGAGCCTCGAAGCAAAAGCAAGTACATGTACATTCGGCAGAGTTCCAAAATGGGAGACAACGCCGTCATGACTTTGACAGGTCTTCTTGATCTACCAAATGCTATGTTCCACTATCGTCTGAGACATCCACTCTGAATCTTCCTGTTCAATAGAGTTGGCCATATCCAGTAATTGCGCCATAGTCAGCCCGCTATCATAAGCCATCTCATCCATGTTCCCCGGGATAGAAGAAGAGTAGCTCTCGTGCTGTGAGTGTTCCGAGGCCATGGCCGAGACCACCGTGTCTTGGGGACTCGTGTCATCCGGGGGCTGCGTTTGGCGCCCCTCGTCTACTAGAGTCGTCTGCTCAGAGGCCTGTGAAGGCCAAGGCGTAAGTCGCTGTAGCATGTTCTCAAGCTGCTGTAGTTCAGATTTGCGGTACTTGGCGATCCCGTTCCCGGCCATGATCATCTCGTCCAGAACGGAGTAGACTTTCTCCAGAGACGGGTCGAGGCACTCAAAGCATTGTGGGTCGATTGCGGGTCCTAGTAGTAGACTGCTAGCAGACACGAAACTGGCTTCCAAGTCGAATGGAAGAAATGTTTCTGCAAGATGAAAAGTTAGCCTGGTTTATGTAAAAGAACGTGGTTTTCAATCAATCTTGGAGATGGCTTGCCCAGCAACCCCTGAGATTGCAAACAGTCTAGGATCGAAACCATTTGTTGAGAAGAATCGATACACATCTGAATCAAATTTCTGACCGTCTGCGAAGATCCCAATAGCTCTGTGCATTTACTCTGTGATTCAAAACGAATTTTCAGAAAACAGAAAAGCAGCGGTCTGGTTGCAAGAACAATGCACTACAGCCAAGTCAGTTCGTTTCCAGTGCCGTTTTGAGTATTGCATTGAACTAGACATACCTGATGGTGCAATAAATGCAAATGGGCGGATGTTCTCGAAATGCAGCTGGTGTCCCTTTCCAGAGGCAGCGCAAACGATTGTTGGAGCTCATCAGCAATCTCAGCCACGCTGGCAAGCACTTCTTTGGTGCCAAGCATGAACTTGTTGTTGAGTCTTCCGTCGAGACCGTAGACCTCTAGTTGGCATAGCGGTTAGCATTATCTCTTAAAGCCGGCTTCAACAGGATCGCACATACTCCTGTTAATGCTCCCAATGACCTTCGACAATCTGATACGCATTCGTAACGCGGCCGTCCTTTGAACTGAACCAGAGTAGGTTGGTAGTTGACAGAGCACATAGTCGTCATGTATTGAAGGCGGCATGCCAAACAACGATGTGATCTCCCGGTCAAGGATGTGTACAGTCCACCATAGCCTTCGGCATCTTTCGACATATGCCTCTCCTAGTCGCTGCACAGGCATGTCTGTGTGCATCCCCTCTCCAAGGGCTATGCGAAGTGCTTGACCGATCGGTAGTTCACCATCAGTATAATGTATAATATTAAGGATTACGGGAAAAACTTACATAGTTGTATGAACAGTGCCTGAAGTCGATGCATTGCGTATATAGAGCAATGCAACACATGATCTCTGTTGACAGAACATGGTTCTTCAGTAAAACATTGAAGTCTGGGAGCAGTTGCATAGCCTTGACAAAGAAGTCATGGCCAGGAGGTCTGTTCCCCCTGTTGGTCTTGGTGGTGAAGGCTTTTCCGAAAGAAAGAATGAGCAAGAAATGAATGAACCACGGATCAGTAGGATCGGGTCTGGGATTAGGGTCAGAATAAAAGCTGTACAAGGACTTCATAAACGTTTCTTCGTCAAAAAGGTGGAACATTTGGCCGCAGTGGAACTTGACGGCGTTGACCAGATAGATGGCATAGTCTTGTGTGGGAAGAGCTGGCATCTCGGGGACTTCGCTTGCTCTGTAGCCATCCCAATCGAGGACGTACGTCGTGCCATCAAAGAGAAGAGCGTTGGTCGGCAATGAGGTCTTGTGGACGTATTGGTGTGTGATGTTGAGGACTCGTCGGGTAAAAGACCAGTTGGATGATGTGCCCAGGTAGACTGTCCTCTTGTTAGGCTTCATTGCTATCAACGTGGTGAGCTGCACTATAAATGACTTACACAGCCTTCCATTTGGCGCTGTTGTGTACTCTGACTGTCCAGTAGACAGAGGGTTGATGAGGTTCGACGCGACAGGATCTATTGGCGCTTTAGGCCGAGCCTCCTGACTTTCCTTTTCATGCGTACCATCTGCAATGATCGGGCCATCTGATTCATCCCTCATGGGCAAATCACCGTCGCTCTCATCTCCTACTGTCAGCTCAGACATGTTCTCTGCAACGCAAAGTAAGATAATCAGGGATAACCAACTGTTTCCTGCTTTATCGGGACGCTGGCCGCCCTCGATTGACACTTGGGCTGGCTCATTGGTGCTTCGGCTCCGCTCCCACCTTTCAATTCTCTGTTGAAGGTCGATAATGTAGCTAGAACACGGATGGTGAGCCGTACTTATGCCTAGATCTAATCGTTGGTAGGAAAGGCCAGGCCCGATTACTTACCCTCTGGTGACGACGATTCTTTGATCCCTTTCGTCAAAGGTGCAGGACTGTTTGCGCTTGCCACATGCATCGCACGGCTGAGATCCTGAGCACTTGATTTTCTGTCGACGACAACGCACACAGCTAGATATCCAAGTGTGTTAGTCGTACGCAACCGCGGCCAATTGACAAGGGAGGGAGGATGTGGTATGTGTGGTTGGCTCGGACAAACTTACGCATTCGACGACCGCTTGGATACCTTGTTTCGGCCGGCCCCAGGTTCCATTTCACTGTTCAGGAAGGCTTATACTCGAGCTTCCAGGTAGAGAATGGAGCAATTAGACAGGCATAAAAGGGTTGTCAGTGTTCTTTGGCTGCGGAAATCGCGTGCTCTGCTGTATGGTCCCGGCGAGCCTCAGCTGTGATGTGACGTTTTTTTGCTGAAGGAGAACGCGGGGTAGTGGTCCTGGTGGAACCGAATTGATGGGGCTCTGGGCTCTCGGGCCAGGGGGGCACGGCTTATCTGCATCTATCTTAGTCTCGGGAAAATGTCACGAGATGGCACCGGCGATAAGTAGGCGTTCGGTTTCTGTACGGATACTAAGTAGTAGCTAAGATATGCAAGAGTTGTAGACTAGGACCGATGCCGGAACGCTGGGCAGCCTGCGGAGTGACTTGGCTACGAGATACCATACTCCATACACATGCCGTGTTGATAGTAGCCGCGTTGGATGAAGGCTAAGGCGTTCCAGAAGGATGCCACATGAGATACACTACAAACTTTGGGAACCTTACATGCGTCCCTCGCATGCATGGTTGCGTCGAGTCGTCGTGTTGTCTTGATAGGTATCTGCCCGTCGGCGGGAATCCCGGGCATCTGCCAATGGGGAACAAGCTCTGACAGAAGCATTCTCCTCCATGACTGCAGGGGATACGACGATACAAAGTGACCAAGACGGAAGATTCTACCCATGCTATCAATAGCTCGTGGGTCTCTAGATAGTAAAGCACCGAGAAAGAGGGCTGAAGGCTGTGCTCTGTGTTTCACGCCCGAGAAACTCTGGTCAAGCTTGTCAATTACCTGCTGTCATACCTTATGCTCTGTGCTAGTCGATCAGTAATTACGGGCCTCCCGAATACAAAGCACCTTAGTCTGATGCAGCTTTTGGGGGCCCAAGTGATTGTCGAATGATGGCTAATTTGTCGCCGAAATGCAGGTTTTCCCGCCATCCGAAGAATCTCAAACTCCGTGTCTCTAGGTTCATGGTGGTAGCACTATGGATCCCCAGGAGTTCCAATTGCCAACGGAGTTGATGCAATCGTCATCTCATGTGGTCTTTCCCTCTCCCCATGGGGAAGCGGAAGTCAACCCAACGTCTCGAGGCTTGAATCCCCATCATCGGCAACGTTAGTGCTGCACGCGTGACTAAGAGAAACTCATCGTGAAGTTTGACTTTGGGGAAGGACCATGCTCTGGACTGGAGTCTCGAGTCTCACGCCCTCCATCATGTGCCGGGTTTTGTGGTGGCGCGGTGGCGTGTGCGAGACACGAGAGGAACTTGATTTCGAAGGGGGCAAGTCAACTCGCTGCCATCGGGATGACCTCCCGACTTCGTCAAGATGGGGCGGGAGGTTTACCGGGTGAGCATCCGATGGTGTGAATTTGAAACGGAGGCTCCGCTCGAGCAGGGGTATACGCAGCGAAAGAATCCTTGCTAAGAGGAAGTTGACCGCGAGTCGTGCCGACGGCGCCTCCGCTTGTATGCGCTAGAGCGGGTAAGCGTTCGCGACGGCGCGATTTTGTACGGCAAAAGCGACTTTTTGTCTCTGGACAAGGGACGCAAAAAGAATTGGCCCATTTCGTGTTACCACAACTGTCCACGATTGCAATTGACTCTTTACGGCGTTTTGCGAAGTTCCGAATGTGCGGCTATGGGCCTGGACAACTCTTATCCGGCCTTTCCGTCCGATATCCCATCCCACAGGCGTGCGGCGCGAGGTAGTGGAATGTTGGCTTCCCTCAGCTGAAGATACACAAGATATCAGGTGAAAACATCGACTACAACACCGCGAGCATTAATGATTAGGAAGGAGATATCGGGATGGCACCCGGCCATCCCATGTCGGCCGAGTTATCAACCCTAGTGAGGCATATTTTCCACGCCAACACTTTTTTTGTGCAAACGCGTGCAGTAATACCGCGTGCTGTGGTCTGTACCTAGGCAACTCACCGAGAAATGCCGCGCGAGTCATTTCTCTCCCCCTGAACCCTTGGGAAAGAAATCGTCCCACTGTGACGTAGGAGCCCCCCGTTGAAAGGCAGTCTGGGGAAAATATGGGGTATGTTCTACCTAACCGGTGCGTAATCTAACTCAAGCGATAGCAGACTATCTGGTACCTCTTGCAGGAGGAAGCCTGTCAGGCTGATAGAGAGGGAAATCTTGGCAGCCCTTGCCGGCTTTTCCTCCTGGCTGGGACTTCGAGGCTGTAGAGAAGGCCGCGCTTGGACTGGTTTTGTACAAAAGCGCATCATTCCCAGTCCCAACTTGGGAATGGGTCTTCTCATCATGCCTCTAAGCTATCAATCTCTCTAGTGAGCTACCAGTTTCGCTTCAGTGTCAATGCATATTAACATTTGCTTGGCCACTCATTCCTCGTCTTGAGCTGTCAACGACTATCACCAACGACAACAACTCTTGACTCTTCAATTCGGTTGTCCTTCCAACTCGGACTCAGTACCGTAGTCTAAAAGATCATCTCGACGACAATTCCCACTTCGCGTGTGACCTGTGTCTCTAAAGACTTTAAAGTCACATTTGTCTGATCGACCGCATACGAACCAACATCACGTGAAAATATCTTCATCAACTGCCAAGATGACGCAGAAGAACAAGGAGGATGTTGAGGCGTTGGGACCCGTCTCAACACATTCGCAACAAGGCCAGGTCTTGGAAGACCCGAACGCGTCTTACGATGCTGTCTTTGGTGAAATTAAAGAGGGCGGCCCCAACTACCGCAATGTAAGGAGCAATCTGGAAAAACTTTTCGGCTTGGAATGCCTAAGCCTCCATTCGGATGCTAATTTCCTCAATTAGGTTGGTTGGAAAGGAACAGTCGCCTTGATGATGAAGACGCAGATCGGCCTGGGAGTTTTGTCCATTCCCGGTGTCTTTGACGTCCTCGGAATTGTGCCTGGTGTGATTGCTCTGTGCTGCATCGCCGCTATCACCACATGGTCCGATTACATTGTTGGTGTCTTCAAGCTTCGCCACCCCGAGGTCTACGGTATCGACGATGTTGGACGCCTTCTCTTTGGCCGCGTGGGTCGCGAGTTCTTCGGGATCGTCTTCTGCCTTTGTGAGTTTATCAATCGTTGGAAAGGTAACTCAAGGACTAACCACTCTCTCCCGATCAGACTGGATCTTCGTTGCCGGCTCTGGCATGCTAGGTGCCTCGATCGCGCTCAACTCGGTTTCCCTTCACGGTGCATGCACGGCTGGCTTCGTCGCCATTGCCGCAGCGATTGGTTTCTGCTTCGGTAGCATCCAGACCCTCGGAAAGATTACCTGGTTCGCCTGGGTCGGTCTCATCTGCATCATGTCTGCCAGTGAGTGCCGCTTAACCCCTTTGGAGGAAATTCCAGATTCAGAAGCTGACCATGCATACGCAGTCTTCACCGTCACCGTTGCCGTGGGTGTACAGGACCGACCGGCTGCCGCTCCCCAGACTGGACACTGGACCTCGGACTACAAGGTCGTTGGAAGCCCGACCTTCGCCCAGGCTTCCTCGGCGCTTTCGACGCTCGTCTTTGCCTTCGCCGGTACCCCTGCCTTCTTCTCCATCGTCTCTGAGATGCGCGATCCTCGCCACTACACTCGCGCTCTGGTCATTTGCCAGGGTGGTGTGACTGCCACCTACATTGCCATCGGATGCGTTGTCTACTACTTCTGCGGTTCTTACGTCGCCTCGCCTGCTCTTGGCTCCGCCGGTGCGACCATGAAGAGAGTCTGCTACGGTCTTGCCTTCCCCGGCTTGATTGTTACCACTACTCTGGTTATCCACGTAAGTAGATTCCAAACCTACAACCCGGTTACCAACAAGCATCAATGCTAACGTTTGTGTCCTCAGTTGCCCGCCAAGTACATCTTCATTCGCCTGCTACGTGGATCCCGTCACTTGACCGAGAACACCATGAAGCACTGGGGTATCTGGCTCGCCTGCACTGCAAGCATCGCCATCACCGCCTACGTCATTGCCAGCTCCATTCCCGTCTTTGATGGCCTGGTATCCCTCGTCGGTGCCCTCTTCGGTACTCTGTTGTCTTTCCAGCCCATGGGTTGCATGTGGTTGTACGACCATTGGGCCGAGGGAAAGCTCGAGAAGAGACCTAGATGGATCGCCATGGTCTGCTTCAGCTGCTTCGTTGTTATTAGCGGCACCTTTTTGATGATTGCTGGAGCGTACGGCTCAGTTGTTGGAATCATGGACAGCTACAAGAAGTCTGGTGGATCGGCCGCATTTTCCTGCGCCGACAACTCGAATTCTGTGTCCTCGGCCCATTAAGCCTCATGTTCGCATGATCAAATGGGGTAGGCGAGCAAATTTTTCCGCGGGAGAACGATCCAATTAGATCCACGCGTTTTGAAATATACCCACTAGTTCTATTCCTGGATAATTCGGACCCCGATTTGTTGTGACATGCCTGTACGATATCCCGGCTTGGCTGTGGCTTCAATATGTACCTGCGCCCCTGACCTACCTTACACTTGGACGGGCAGACATGTGGATCGAG